TCTTGTAACCCTAGCCCTCCTTTAAAGCTGAACTTCAGTCAGCCATGAAAGCTAAAGTCCAGCTATAAAGATGTATGTACTGTATATTTACATTGGTCCAGCTTGGCACAATCAAAGTATACATCATTTATTTGTGGCAGAGCCACAGGGATCCTGTAAGTGTGTTACAGCGATCTTGCAGGTCCTTTTGCACCGCTGTGCTGAGCAACTTCCCCTCGGCTGTAAAAACACAAAGGGTTCCTCGCACAGCACAGTGGCCATTAAGGTGATGACATCATAGCTCAATTAGAGAATGCCTAGTATTCACTGATAAAATACTAGGAGTTCACTGAATGGACGCTGTGCTGAGTGAGTGACCCTCTGTGTTTTTTTTAAATTATGTATTATTGGTATTTATATAGTGCCGACAATTTACACATTGCTTTACATACTGCACATTCACATCAGTCCCTGTCCTCAAGTAGATTCACAGCAAAGGGGAAGTTGCTCAGCACGGCGCAGTACCAGGACCCGAAAGGTCGATGTAAAGCTGCAGCTACTCCAGAGTTTTACAGGACCTTCAAAAGATAACTTATGTATACTAACATTGTGCCAAGCTGGACCAATGTACATAAATCTTTATAGCTGGAGTTCAACTTTATTTATGAACACTTTGTGGCTCTTCTATTGGGTGGTGAGGTTAAATTATTTTAGTCTTGGGGAGTGTAAAGTAAAGAAATACAGTGGTACCTCGGTTCACGAACTTAATTGGTTCCACGATTCTGGTCGCGAACCGATTTTTGGTTGTGAACCGAATCACATTTTCCTATAGGGTTCAATGTAAATCAGGTTAATCCGTTCTGAACCATATGAAAAAAATAAAATAAAAAAAATTTAACCACAAGTTTTTTTTTTACCTCCATTCTTGCTCTGCACATTCTTGTCACCTTCAATAACGCTCTGCACGTTCTTGTCACCTTCAATAACGCTCTGCACGTTCTTGTCACCTTCATTAATGCTCTGCACATTCTTGCCACATTCATTAATGCTCTGCACATTCTTGTCACCTTCAATAACACTCTGCACATTCTTGCCACATTCATTAATGCTCTGCACATTCTTGTCACCTTCATTAATGCTCTGCACATTCTCGTCACCTAACGCTCTGCACGTTCTTGTCACCTTCAATAACACTCTGCACATTCTTGCCACATTCATTAATGCTCTGCACATTCTTGTCACCTTCATTAATGCTCTGCACATTCTTGTCACCTTCATTAATACTCTGCGCTTTCTTTTTCCCACCATGCTTGCTCTGCACTTTCTTGGGAGCCATGCTGGATTGAATACATCAATACTGTACAGTACTGTGCTACAAAGCACACAAAAAAGCTTCCCAGTAAGTGTCCACAGCCCTGTCTGTGACCGCAATCTCAAGTACAGGAAGCCACAACCATGTGCCAGAGCGGGGTAGATGGCCGCGGTCGTGTTCGTAACCTGAGGCAGAGTTTGCGAACGGAGGCAAAATTTTTACAAACTTCCTGTTTGCGAACCGAATTGTTTGTGAACAGAGGCGTTCGTGAACCGAGGTACCACTGTACTTTTCCTTTGTCCTCGCTTTCTGGACAGCCTGCACTATCCTCCACTCCCTGTGGGCAGACCCTCAACACCCTCACATACAATGCAGGGCCTCTGGTCTTATATTGTAGGTGATGATGTCAGCGTGGGACTAACAAACAGGAGAAGCTTTGTGGGTCCGGATGTCTGTCAAGGAGGAAGCCTGCGAGCTGGGGAACAAAATGTAAGTATTTTGTAATGTAAGCATTTCTGCATATTTGTTACCCCCTAGACTAAATGAGCATTTAACCCTTGATATCCAGAGGAGGAGAAACCAAATGCTTATAGTGTGACTCCATGCTGTAGGTAGACAAAATGGGGAAGTCTTGCACCTAGACTGGTTTATGGCCCACCAGTGTCTGGACATCCGGACTTGGCTAGCTGGTCTCATCTGTGTAAAATAGCCTGTTTTAGTTATATGTGGACCCTGGAAAAAAAGTTCATTTCATGGACCCTGCAGGCAGCTTGTATGCATAACATTAAAAAGAAAATATGCAAAGCTAAATTACAAGATGGAACAGGACAAGGTGCCGTTCATGGCATTTATCAGACTCTTGAGCTGAGCCAGGGTGCAGATTACTCAAGTCACCTACTTCTGACATTTTACCAAGCCTTTCATCGTCAATTTCTTCCCTTACCAAGCTCATCCGTAATTATGCCTTGTTTTATTAATAGCGGTTCTGCCATGTGACATTCAGGGAATTTGATAAATCCTATTTAAACTAAGCATTCAAAATGTGCAGATAATATATGTGGAAGGTATCTGCATGTTTTTGGAGCAGCAAGGCAGTGTTTAAGTAGACGTGTCTATATAGATCTGAGAATACTGGGACAGATATTTAGAGCAGGCTCTCAGCAGCAGCAGCCAGTGACAGCTCAACGCAGACAATGGAGCTGTAAGCTGAGAAACATTGATAACCATAGGAGCAAAGGAACTGCGTGAAACTTGGACTCAAATCAAAGCAAAGTTTTGCCATGGAAGTGTAATTCATCCTTTTAGTTACACATTTAAATCCCTTTCTGCTGGTTTCAACCCATTAACCCCTTACAGGCCCTCTGGCAGTATAAGGGTTAATAGGCTGCTCAGGAAGTCACCCAGTAAAGGAATAGTTAACGTGACACGAAACTCAGGAGTTGAATCTTAAAAATGCATTCAAGTACCTTAAGGCCCCATTCACACTTGCGATATTGCAAATTGCGCGTGTGTCGAGCGACTGCCATTTGCGTGATATTGGGCGTTTTCACCGCGCAATTTTTGTATTGGGCTGAGTACAATAGCGCGACATCCGCTCCAAAAAAGGGTCCTGCACAAGCGACGCGCGACAGCGACGAGCTACTTGGCGACATGGAGCAGTAAATGGGAACAGCTCCATTGACATGCATTGGACTTAGTACACAGAGCGATATTACGCAGAAATATGCGCGATTTTGTCGCGTGAATACGCGCGATAAACTGATCAGTGTGAATGGGGCCTAAAGGAGAACTATGGGATGAGTGAAATAAACTCATCCCAATAGTTGGAGCCGATGTATGACACTGCATCTGTCACACATCAGTTCTATAGATCGAGTACTGAGTGACCACATACCGCTGATGACTCAGTTGACAATCTTCTCCCTGCAGAGAGTGGTGACTCTCAGTCACTGCTCCCTGCAGGGATTCCCCTCTCTCCTCTCTATTCTTCCAGCTCTCATTGGAGGGACAGATGGGGATGGGACGGGCACAGCTGGCTCTGGCGAGGGAGAACCAGCTGTCAATCAGTCAGCAGGGTGGAACCTGACAATATTGCTGGGATCCTTCCCAGCTGCAGCATGACTCTATGCTCTTAGCATATAGTGGGCAATACCTCGCTATATGCTGAGTCTTGGGACACAGGAGGACATTAGTAAATGTTCTCTTGTGACACTAAAGAGAACTATGGCCAAAAAAAGTTTTTCTCCTTGAACTAGTAACAAAAATGTATCTTATGTGTGAATTACTGGGCTGTAGATCCTCACATTATCTCTGAATTGGTGCTGAGACTCCTTCTGGGGGGTGGCTATTTTTGTTGCCCATGGTCCCTGTGTGTGTTGTAGCCACCGCTCCAAGCTCATTCCCGTGATGGACTACAATCTCATGTTTAGTTTACTAATTTGTAGGCATGCACCGATACTAGTATCGGTATTGGTGCCGATGCAGAGTATTTGGACGAGTACTCGTACTCGTCCAAATGCTCCGATGCCTAGCCTGATACCTGAGCTTCCGGTATCAGGAAGCCAGACCTGCGAGTCATTACACGCTGCCCGGCTTTCTGATTGGCCGAGCAGCCGACTTCATGCACCTGGTGACGAGGGAGCATGGAGCCAGCTTCGCCCAATCAGGAAGCACGGCAATGAGTCATTACACCGCTCCTGGCTTCCTGATTGGCTAGAAAGCTGGATCCATACTTCCTTGTCACTTGGTGACGAGGGAGCATGGAGATGGCTTCCATGCTAATCGGGATGCCGGGTGGCGAGTCTTTACATGCCGCCCGGCTATTCAGGAAGCCAGGTGACGAGTTATTACACGCCACCTGGCGTCCTTTATGGGACTTCCTGTATCTGTATTTGATATTGGCGAGTAGCTACAAAAATATCGGTACTCGATACAGAAAAACCGGTATCAGTGCATCCCTATTCATTTGTATTGAGGTGGTAATCCATACCGGGAGTGAGCTTGGAGCGGTGGCTACTTTACAACGCACACAGGGACCATGAGGAACAAAAGCATCCCCCCTCCAGAAGGAAGGACAGTGTCAGCTCCAATTCAGAGATGATTTGAGGATCTACAGCCGAGTGATACACAAATAAGATACATTTCTGTTCATAGTTAGGGTACTCGAATGTATTTTTAAGATTTAACTCCTGAGTGTACTGTCACTTTAAATCCCCTTCTGCTATTTCCAAGCCAATGCAGGCTCGCTGGCAATTGAAGGGTTAACAGGCTGCTCAGGAAATCCCTCTGTAAAGGAATATTTATATGCTGGTTATTGTAGGGTTCAAGTCAACCTATATAATTCTATACATTTCTGTTAATAGTTAAGGTACTTGAATGCATTCCTAAGATTTAACTCCTGAGTTCAGGGTCACTTTAAGCTGATCTATTGTCTGGGGTTGTGGAAGTCAGGGTATATAATTCTATACATTTGTAACTGAAATAGCAAGTACAATAGAGACAATCTGAGGAGGGGTGAAGAAGAACAATTTGCACAGTGACAGATCAGGAGGTGCATTTATTTTTAGGAAGCTCCTCTCCATGTATACATTGTATAGCACACAGCTCTCAGTGCTTGTTGCCTGCACAATTCCGGATGCTTCTCATTCGCTGTGTAGATCAGTCGGTACCCATGTGAATCAGAGGACTTACACAGTGCTGAGAGCTCAGCTCTAGTGGTCTCATCCCACCACAGGGACAGGGAGATGAAGAAGGAGCTGTGATCCTCTCCTGGTTCCTCAGCTCTATCTGTGCATGCTCCAGGAGGAAGAGGCAGCCAAAGTCTTCAGTCTCATCTACACACACAGACACAGCTCAGGCATTCCACCTCGTCCCTGGAAATCAATCACATCACCAGCTCCCAACAACGTGACAGGGCAAGGAGGATCGAGCTGCACAGTGTCAGTCCTGCCAGAGAGAAGAGCGAACGGGGCTTGGATGTATTCACTTTGTGCTGAGGATCCCATCCAAGAGCAGCAGGGCATCGGTGCAGCAGCCGGGGTAAGTTTCCTGCACCACTCCGGGTCCTTTTGTTTGGGATAGAGGATGATAATTAACGTGTCATGATCACATGGCTGCTGGAAGGGAAAAGTCCTGTTCTGTGCATGGCTTGTACACCGAGCTGCATCATTTCTACCCTTTACAGGGGATGCAATAGGCACCGTGTATACAGAAGAACCAGATCCGCTATCAATGACCCCGACAATAGGAGATCGCTACTGAATTCTGATTTTATATATAGACCTGAGTGTCATGTAAACAGATGGCTTGTGCTGTCCAACAGAGTGTTTTTGCAGCTCGGACCCTAGGAGTAAATGCAGCCCCTGCTCTCTGGGACAAGGGATTTCAGCACTGTTAGCTCTGGACAGTTCCTGGAATAAGTCCCTGCACTCAAAGAGAAACTCAATTCAGGTGATAAATCTTAAAAATGTACCTTACTATTAACAGAAATGTCTCCTATTTGTGTATCACCCGGCTGTAGATTCTCAAATCATCTCTGAATTGGTGCTGACACTGTCCTTCCTTCTGGAGGGGGGATACTTTTGTTCCCCATGGTCCCTGTGTGTGTTGTAAAGTAGCCACCACTCCAAGCTCACTCCCGGTATGGATAACAATCTCAATACAAATGAATAGGGATGCACCGATACCGTTTTTTCTGTATCGAGTACTACAGTACTGGACTACAATCTCAATACAAATGAGTAAACTTAATATGAGATTGTAGTCCATCACTGGAGCGAGCTTGGATGGGGGGCTACTTTTGTTCCCTATGATACCTGTGTGTTGTAAAGTAGTCACTGCTCTAAACTCACTCTCATGATGGACTATAATTTCCATAGAAATCAGTAAACTAAAGGTGAGATTGTAGTCCATCACGGGAGCAAGCTTGGAGCAGTGGCGGCTTTACAACACACACAGGGACCATGGGGAACAAAAGTAGCCCCCCTCCAGAAGGAAGGACAGTGTCAGCATCAATTCAGAGATGATTTGAGGATCTACAGCCGAGTGATACACAAATAAGATACAGTATTGTTAATAGCTAAGGTACTTGGATGCATTTTTAAGATTTAACTCCTGAGTTTAGTGTCACTTTAATGTTTTACAACGAGAGGAAAGAGCCATGGTGTTACTAATGGGCATGCACACTTCTCTCCTGCCAAGCCCTGTCCCCGGCTATCCAAGTTTTCTCAATAAGACCATTTATTTTGAAGCAGCTGAAACGCTGATGTGGAAGTAGGTGTCTGTTTATTGTGCAGAAAAGTAAGACATTGTGGCATTAGAATAGACTTTTGTAAGCATCTCATGGTTTCTTGGCACTTGTGAATGGGAAGTTAGCACAGCTGATATAGCTGGACTCCTAGAGGTTTTAAACTATAAATCAAAAACTCAGCAGCCACATGCATCTTTATCTTGGGGAACCGTCATCATTTGAATGGCAGGGAGAAAGAAATGACTCTTCATTGTCCATCCTTGTAGTAGTCTTTCATTTGATACCCCCCCCTTCCACCTCCTTACTTGAGTCGCTTGTAGTTTGTACAGAGAATACATGTTTTTTTGGCATTCATTATTTGTTTCCCTTTGTTGTGGTGAGAAGGGCTGAATTGACCTTGACATTGTTTGAGTTGTTTATTAATGTCTTGTGTATTCAGCTAGAGTCTATACGGTGCTGTAGGCATATCACACTTTTTATTGTAGAAGAATGTTGTCTGATGTTTGTGTTGTGTCTTGTTATGTACTTTTGTAATAAGAACTTTTGGGGCACGCTAGATTTGTAACACTTTACAGATGTAATTGTCTATCACCAGCACTGTCTTCCTTAAAGGAGAACTATGGGGTCAGTGTTTTTCCCCATAGTTCTCCTTAGGGTAACGGGAGGACACAAACTAGCGTCCTCCCGTCACCCTAGGCTCAGTATACCGCGAGCTGTAGCTCGCGGTATACTGATACTGAGACGCCGCAGTATACCGCAAGCTGCTGCTCGAGGTATACTGAGACGCCACAGCTGAAGCGGATCCTGACAATTGTGCCGGGATCCGCCCAGCTGCGTGACTGACAGCTGGCTCTGCCGATCTAGAGGCAGAGCCAGCTGTATCCGCCCCTCCCGCGTCCTTTCCGCCAGTCAGCGCTGGCGGATGGGAGCGGGGAGGGGGGAATCCAGCCCCTCCCCTGTCACGGCAGAGAGCCATGACAGGATGGAGAGGTGAGCGAACGCCGGTATGTGTTCGCTCACCTCCCGATCTACTGAGCCGACCTGTGACAGTCTCATTGTCACAGGTCGGCTAGAACTATGAGGTGAGTGAAAAGCACTCGCCTCATAGTTCTCCTTTAATGATTTGCCAAGTAAAAAAACGTATATATTGCGTACAGTCAGTCCGTGTTTTTGTTTTAAAAGCAAGTATTCCAAATTATGACATGTCTCAAAGTAAAATGTCCGCGCACCCAAAATGTTAACAATATGATGAATCTAAGAATGTTTTGGATCTCTTGTGAAGTTGAGACCTCTGTGGTTCTATTCCAAGGTACATCAGCTTTTGCACAGCTATTATTTGATGATTTCACTTTCCCATAACAATGTTTCATCGATTTAAGAGAATACAAGAGTAGGAGTGAGACTTCTTAGCAGGGGGGCAGAGACTGGAACTCCACTAGCATCCTATAGAGAGAAAACCATTAGACCTAAGCTGGATAGGTCAGGACGCCTCCATGGACTCTCCCAGCTTTCTGGGCTGTACACAAAACAGCTGGTAAGACTGTTCAGAAATGTACCTTCTGGCAGGATTGGTCTCCATATATAAACCTGCTTTCATTTAACTACATTCCTCAATAGCCTCAAAGGATATAAATCCACTTTGTGTGTACCATAATGCCCATTTATTACCATGTGAAAGTACTAGTGACATCACCACTGTGCTGTACGTTGCCTGTGCAGAGCAGGAACCCCAAACTCCACCCACTACAGGCTGCCTACAGGAGGGGGTGGAGACATCACCAGTCACAATGCTCAAGAAGGGAGAGCAGCAGTGAGCGGTCTTTATTTCAGGAAGCTTCAAGATTCAAACTGGATTACTCCACAGATCTGGAAGAAATACACAAAGCTCACCAAGATTCCAGGAGGATTTCACATATGTCTTCTTTTGCTTATCACAGATTTCAGCTTTCAGTTGTAAGCACTGTGTAAACCCAGCAGCACAAAATAACTCAGTGAAAATAAACTTTTAATCATCTTTAATTTGTGGATATCTACTGAACAAACACTTTTAGTAAGCATCTGTAAACTTGCTAATGTCTAATTTGTGTCTACATGCAAATAGATATCTTCTTGTTCCTGGACAAATATGTAGGATGTTTTTCTTTTTATGTTAGTTGGTTCCTCACAGCCCCATGTCTCATATTAGTCAGTGGCATCACACGCTCATTATACTCTTAATTATGTGACCTTTAAGACTCCCACTCAGCAGATTACATGATAATCTTGGTATATGTAGGGAATGCATAATACGAAATCACAGCAAAGTTGTAACAGTTTTATCTGTGTACAGTCGTTTCTCTTCCTTTGTGAGATCATTTGTTGAATCTTCAGTTTGCTTAGTGTGACAATCAGTCCATCTGTATTATCAGATATTTACTGGGTGATCTTCTGATACTTAAAATAAACCTGTGGCAAGTAGAAAAATAATTATGTGGCAGCATAGTGACGTAGTGGTTAGCACTTCCTTGCAGCACTGGGGGGTTCCTGGTTCGAATCCTGGCCAGGTCGCTATCTGCAAGTAGTTTGCATGTTTTCACGGTGGGTTTCCTCTAGGTCATGGTTCTCAACTGGTGGGTCGCAAACCCCATTTTTAGTGTGTCACCGCGTGCCTTCCACTGTGCTAGTTGAGAGGCTTCTCAGCACTCTCAGGCACTGTAAGTTCTCGTGCTGAGAAGCCAATCAAAGTGCCCAGCACTGAGTGTCAGCTTGAGGTGAGGTGGGCTGGGGGTATGGCCACGAGGGAGCTCCATCCATATGTGCATTGCTTACAGCTCCCTCGCATGCCCTGTAGAAGTGCCTGGACCAGAGTGGCATCACAATCTGGCTCCGGGCACTTCTTCAGGGTGCGCAAGGGAGCTGTACAAGCAATGCACATATGGATGGAGCTCTGTCACAGCACAGCAGCCCACAATGGACCCCAGGCTGAGGATCCACTCCAGTTGATGGCCTGTACACACTAGTACAGTGCGTTAATCGTACATTCTGGGGCGGGTGGTGCATTGCGTTTCCATTTATTTGGATGGTACCCCAAATGCACCTCCTGCCCACATTTTGATCATCCATACCGGAACACAAGGTACCACAATGCCATGCGTTCCAGTCCGGTGCGACTTGGGTCATGACTTAATGACCAAGGCCAAATGTGGGTCCTGAGGCTACACAGATTGAGAACCACTGCTCCAGGTACTCCGGTTTCTCCCTATACTCCATAGACATGCTGGTAGGTTTATTGGCCCTGTATGTGTGCATGTGAGATAGGGACCTTAGATTTTAAGCTCCTAGAGGGCAGGGACTGATGTGAATGTGCAACTATGTAAACAGCGCTCTCAGATAAAAAACTTAAAAGGTTGGTTATGGGTATCTGACTAACATGCAGTCCTGAGAAACAGGAGGAGTACCTGTAAATTAAACAATCAAAAAACACACAATGGGCGCAACGGCATATAGAAAGCTAACTATCTGGGCAGAACATTTTCCTGTAATGTTCTGCCCAGATAGTTAGCTTTCTATATGCCGTTGCGCCCATTGTGTGTTTTTTGATTGCCTCTATATAAATACCTGCAATAAATAAATAATATACAACCTATCAAAATAGTAGCCATTGTAAGCTGTTGTTGCCTTTAAACAGTGCCTGGAGCCCTTGGCAACAAATTACTTTCTTAGAAAAACTCCATGTAATTAACCATGATCAGGTGATTAGTAGGTCCTGCTGGTTGGCGCTTCCATCTCCGTCTTCAAAGATGGGCCAACA